CTTTCATATCCTAACATGCTGTACTGTATCACATCATCTTGCTGTGCTTCTTAAACTGCACTATGGGACCTGAAATGAGTTGCTGGCCGAAGGCTGTATTTTAGAAATGTTTTACCTCAAGTCAAAATCACTGAAGAAATGATCTAATGTAAATCATGCCATCACACAAATAACCATAGATACGAAGTAGATACAGGATAGGTCAGGAGTTTTAGAGTTGATTTCTCTAATACAGTTTTTCTTGGGACCTCACATTGAAACTACTTGCTTGTTTCACTGAGTCAGGTCCCCTTAATGTACTCAAGTTTAGGTCATCTTGAAAGCAGTTTAAGAAGCTCTGCCACACTGTAACATTACCTGTTATAACCAGTTGAAACACAAATATGGATTGAAAGTCATTTTGTAACAAAAGTACTTCAGCTGGCAGCAACTGCAGCGTTTTGAACCACATTTGCTCGTCATACTACTATTGCATAATTATAATACATTATTAGCAGTACCTGTGTTTTCTATTCAGGTGACACTTGTATAGATGTCTCCCCTGCATTTATGTTTTTAAAAATTATGAGACAAAATGTCCAAGGCTGCTTTTTTATTTTTTTTTATGCTTTCTCTTTTCTTCCAATGAAATAAGAAAAAAAAAACTTTAGTTTTTCATCGTCTGTTGCTGTTAAAGCTACAGTATGTAATGTTTTCAAATATTTTTGTTGCATAAATCTTCTCCAAAACCTGCCTCCCGTGACCCAGATTCACTGAACAGCGCTGGCAGCAGTGCAGAGATATTGGCTTCTAAAAGGTTTTGAGCAGGATTGACCTCTAACCAATCAGGTTTTCGATTATTTGATCAATAAGTTTTATTATATTCCCATTATTGTAATTTCATAACGACGTATATCTGAAGAGCTGGGTAGAGCATGGTGGAGCGTAGCAGACTGTAGTGGAATGGGGAGGGTTGACTGGAGTTTCATGGTAGTGCCACCTTTAAGGTACATACTGTAGCTTTGACCTGTATACACTCCAGAAAAAAAATCCCTGTTTCATGCTCATTCTGATGTTCAACTTGCTTTAACTTCTTGTCAGTTTGTATATATCCTGAACTGAGTTCTACTTCACTGAAATGCACCATCTTCTCCTTGTTTCCCTTATTAACAGATACAAATATGAGATTGGCTCCCATCATGTAAAACTGCCTCCTCCTCCACTTCCTTCTTTTCTTCATGCCTCCATTCCCCTGTCCGTGATGTTGATGCTACCTTTAGCTGTTGTTTAAAAACTACTAAAACAATCCTCTATTTTACCCTATATTTCATTAGCATTAGCAAATCATATTGATTTAACTTTGAGGACTGGTAAAGTAACCACTTCATGATATGGCCATTCAAAGCTGTTTAATACCCCTTCCTTGGAGAAAGGATGTTAGATTGGATGGATGGATGGATGGATGGATGGTGGAAGTAACTGCAAAGCACTAAAGGTGTTTTTATGGTAGTTCTCCTTCATTGCAATTTGATTTCCAGCCCACCATCATTGACTAGCATGACAAAATTGGTAAATGTGAATAAATCTTGTAGTTCAAATCAGGATTGCACAACGGCAATGCTGCTTCTGAACTTTAGCTGCACTGTTTGAACATGTATGTAAAATCCTCATCTGGGTCTTGTACCATTGCTTTAGTACTTCATACAAATCTCCCATGAACATCTGTGCATGTTAGAAGTATGTGAAAAGTGGAGGTTGTGTGAAATGTCAAGTTAATGCAGAGGATTTGTTCCCCAATCTTATTGCCAAGATGCTTGTAGCAGTTCCACTTAGGATTTTAGATGCAACATTACTAGTCAAACTAGAAAGGCTGCTGTAACCACTTTGACCTTGTTGATTCAGTATCTGTTTACAAAACCTTCAGGGTATTTTTGGACAGTTTTGAGTGCTAGTTGGCTCATTAGAGGCCCTATCTGGAAATCACCACAAAACCCTTTAATTCCAGGACTGTAGTCGGTTTGTACAGATCTACAGTATGTGGACTGGAGGGTGAAAAGATATTTCTTAACACTACTGTGGATGCAAATATTCCTATATCCAGTGAGAGGGCTTTAATTAGGTATAGTTTGAAATGTTTTCTTAAAACAGGTCATATCAAGGCTCGGCTTGAGATTTCATACAGATTAATGTCTAATGAATGGGAAAATGGGGAGACTGACATGCGATGTAGAGAGACAGTACTGAATTAATCTGTTACAACAAAGATGTTATCACAAAAACATTGGTCACTTACTCTGATCATGAAGAACAAAGAACATATTACTTATTTTTGTTCTAGATTGACTTCTGATACATACAGTAATACTTTTTGTACTGCATAGGCTACAATAAAAAGATGACATTGTACATAATGGTAGTGTATCATCCGACTCACGGTCTCTCTCAGGTTAATCAAACGTAATCGAACCTCATCTGTTTTATTCAACAGCCATGTTGTCAGTTAGGTGTTGGCTGGATTGGACTGGCCACAGCTCTGACCTAGAGTCAGTTTTTGTGTCATGTCTTTGTATCGAATGAAACTGGTCTGAAGGACTATCAAAAAAAATCTATTCACTGCAAGGATAAAACTGAAAGTGAACCTGATACAGCTGGAACTGACCCTGGGTCAGTGCTCCGTGGTTACATTTATTTTGGACAAAAGGGCTGTTTTAAAAAGGCTCACTGGAAGTAAACATACTTTTGTGAAACTCTTAAGTTGGTGAATGAGCCTAAACTTCACCAGTTTATTTTAAAGTCACCGAGTGCTTTTATTTTAGAAAATTGTTACTTACCCTTAAAAATGACAGATCCTTCTCTCAATCTTTTCTTTATGTATATATATATATATACGTGGTTACATTTATTTTGGACAAAAGGGCTGTTTTAAAAAGGCTCACTGGAAGTAAACATACTTTTGTGAAACTCTTAAGTTGGTGAATGAGCCTAAACTTCACCAGTTTATTTTAAAGTCACCGAGTGCTTTTATTTTAGAAAATTGTTACTTACCCTTAAAAATGACAGATCCTTCTCTCAATCTTTTCTCTATGTACATATATATATATAAATATATATAAGCTGTTGTGGATCCATCTACATTTCATTTCTTGGCCTTTTACAGGTAAAACACTTTTCTAAACATGATATTTGTTTTAAAAAAAATCCATGTTTGAGAGTGAGTGTCACAGTCCTGTCCATAAATGAGAGTGAAAGGGAAAACAGTCATTCTGCCTTGCCAGTGTTTTATTTGTATGTTACAAATAAAGGAAAGTTGTTTGACTTTTCAAGAAATGCTTCTTTGTTTTTTGTCATCTATTATGATCTTTAATTTTGATTTTTTATGGGACAAAACAGAGGAAATATCAAAGACCAGTTCTCCGTGGAAAAAGATATTTAAAAAATATTTGACTTACTAAATAAAATTTTGAGAAAGTATGTAAGAGTTTTGGAAAAACTTTAAGTTGCTCGATTGACTTAATAGGTCAGGTTTTTATTATCTTTTCACAATAGACACTCTCTTGCACAATAGCAACTTATTTTCATAAGTTTTAATATTCTCTCATTTTTATTAGTAATGGTGCAGGTTTCATTAGGAACGGTTTATTATTTGTGATTTCACAGGGGGACTCTTTATTGTGTCGTACTGAATCCGGAAGTTGTTGGTACACCGCTGCAAAAACTGCTAGCTAAGCCGAATGAATGGATGGTCGGATGGACTGAGGTTCCTTTGCTCATATCTGCCCAAGATGACATAAACGTTTAAGCTTATAACTGTTGGACCGCTCCTGTCTTTCACGAGTTCCCTCCTCGGGTAAGTGATATTTTCTGACAAAACAGATGTGCAGGCTAACGTGTCTTAGCTAATAGTGATTTATCATCCAATGCATGTTCATATTAGTTGACCTTCCCAGCAATAGCGTGCGCTAACCCATCCTCAGCGTCAGAGTCTTACAGTTAGCCTCATGAAATGTAAGGTTAATATTGCTGAATAGGAATGATACCCCTCTCAGCTGCTCAGCTAAGGAATGACAGGGGGAGAATCACTGACACGTTCAAGCATCTTAACATTTTCAGGTCTACATTTAAAGTCAGCACAGCCTTGAGAAAAAGACAAATAATGAATGACCAAACATTCCTAGAGAGTAATGCTTTGTGACGAATAGTATCTTCCATATTATACTGTAATCCTTTCAGCTGGTTGGGGTACCATGGCAACGAGGATGAAGCTGAAGCTGAAGACTGTGTTTGTGCTCTACTTCATGGTCTCGCTGCTGGGCCTCATCTATGCACTGATGCAGCTTGGTAAGTGGTCTGCACAGTCTGGCAGGGGGTAGATAAAACAAGAAAAGAAGTGAGAAGACCAAAGAAAATGTCATTTAAAGACAATTTACTATGTATGTTCTGAGCCCGTTGAGTGCACTATTAAATGTACTCATGTGCTGCCAGTATACTCTTGTATGTAATACATAATGCGTACTGTTTTCTTTTCAACTAACAAACTAATGCATATAATTAAGGATGTATGTTTAAAATGTAATTTAAGGTGGCAGACATTCAAGTCAGATAAGACAAATTAAAACGTAAACAATCATCTATGTACGTACACAAATTCTGCTTTGCTTTTGTACCCAAATCTGCCTTTGTATGTTTACTCTCTAATGCCGTACAGGTCAGCGCTGCGACTGCACAGAGCACGACATGACTAAAGACCGTACCATATCTCGGCTGCGAGGGGAGCTGCACCGTCTTCAGGAGCAGATGAGGAAGTTAGAGGTGACCAAACAACCCCAGAAACAGCCAGCTAAGCCCTCCCTGTCTACCATCTTTGTCATCACCCCAACATACGCAAGGTAGTCTTCCTTTCTCCATTTTCTGCTCACTCACCCACCTGATCTCCTCCCTCCTCTTCTAATGATTTCCATCTCTGTCCTTGCCCAGGCTGGTGCAGAAAGCTGAGCTGACTCGTTTGGCCCAGACATTCCTCCATGTCCCTCACCTGCACTGGATTGTGGTGGAGGACTCGCCTCACAAGACACCACTGGTGACTGACCTTTTGCTTAAGAGCGGCCTGACTTACACACATCTCCACATTCCCACTGCTATGGACCGCAAACTGCAGGAGGTGGGTGGAAACAAAAATCATCCCAGTCTTTTCACATTTTTATCTTCTCAACTTCAAATACATGGATTCAGTATTTTTCCTGATGTAAGTAGGAGCAAAAGAATGTTTTAAAATGTTCAGTCTGAATGCTCATTGTCTACCCCAGGGTGATCCCAGCTGGCTGAAGCCACGGGGTGTCGAGCAGAGAAATGAGGGTCTGCGGTGGCTCAGAGAGGACAGAAGGGCTCAGCCAGGAGGAGACGACCAGCAGGGAGTGGTTTACTTTGCTGATGACGATAACACATACAGCCTGCAGTTATTTGAAGAGGTGGATGTTGTAATGTTATACATGTTTGTTGCAATGTCAATGTGTTTATGATCCTCAGAAGTTTATCATGCCTGTGTTTTTAATGTCCCCTGATCAGAGCATAAAAACAAATGTCCTCTTGTCTTGTCCCAGATGAGGAGTACTCAGCGAGTATCAGTGTGGCCGGTGGGGCTTGTTGGAGGGATGAAATATGAGAGGCCTGTGGTTGAAGGAGGAAAGGTGGGTGCATTCTGTGTTCTGATCTGTCAGCTGAGGAGCGAAAGGAATATGTCCAAGGATGGTTATACTGAAGAGGCTGCTTCATTTAAGGAAAACATTCATTTATTGGCCAAATTACACAAAGCAAAAATAATCATTTGGGTGATTCTCAATGAGCTTTGTGTCTTTTATATGAAATTAGAAAAAAAACAAAGACAATGCTTCAAAATAATTTTGTGATACCTTACATCTGACATTTTGTGCATTGATGGGGGAAAAAAAGTCTTAACTCTAGGTCCCCTTACTGTATTTTTCCAGAGTTTTCAACATCTCAATCAGTCAGTCAAGTTGTCTCTATTGTCATGTACTGTACTATAAATAGCTCACCTGGAATTGCGTGACCCGAGTATGGAAATTCAGTCATGACAACTGAGGAAACACCATCTGGAAGCTCCAGAAAGTAGTAGTAGTAAGTGTACCTTGAGTTAAGATCATCAAACGTATAAAAGTACTTAAAGTAAAAAATTTCTAACATTTTTCGAACTCATTGTTATTGATGCTGATATTGATTTTTATTTAAAAGACGAAGAGGAGGAGGAACATGCCATCATAAAACTGGCAGTCACAGAAACCAGTACAGCATTTTAAAGCTGATATCTGTGGGATCTGATGGAATCATCAGTTTTCTTCTCAAAGAAAAAAAGCCTTATCGGAGCCACTTCAACTGAACAGTTACCAAAAATTTGCTTATTATTTGTATTTTTGACGATTTTACCAAGGTGGTTCGCTTCCATACTGGCTGGCGTCCTAGTCGCCCCTTCCCCATGGACATGGCTGGCTTCGCAGTGTCCCTCAAACTGGTCCTGTCCAATCCAGAGGCTTGTTTTGACGGAGAGGCACCGATGGGCTTCCTGGAAAGCAGCTTCCTTCAGGGATTGGTTACCATGGAGGAACTGGAGCCCAAAGCAGACAACTGCTCTAAAGTATGAGTGGCAATATTCTGAAACTAGTAAATCCTTTAAGATCCAAATATGTGGAACATATCGTCTTTGGAGACTGCCTACATGTGTGTATTAGTGAAACTTCTGGAAACAAGATTTTTGAGGGGGAAGTGAAATGTGTAATTACATTGTTAAAATTTAATTTCAATGCCCGTTCACTGTGTGTCTTGTAGGTGCTTGTGTGGCACACACGGACAGAGAAACCGAAGATGAAGAGAGAGGAGGCTCTCCAGGCTCAGGGACTGGGTTCAGACCCTGCTGTGGAGGTCTGAACACACACTCACTCACATACGGTGTAAAGACTACTGTTAAATGCTGCTTATAAAGCTCTGCATTGTAAATACTGTAAAGCAGAAAAATATTTGTCAGAGGTGACACTTAAATTTACCTGGTAATTTCTGTATGAGTTTTGTGTCAGGTAGTAAATGTATGCCCATGTATATATTGAGTGAATGTGAGTGTGTGTTACTACAGTGCTGAGTGTTAGTGTTTGTGTGTCAGGGATTTCTTTGGTTGTGGTGAGTTAGTTGTCTTTGTTCAGCAGTATAGTGGATGAGAACCCAGTCTGAAGTTTAAACAATTGCCTGATGGGGGCGCCAATTTTCAATTTTGCCAAGCCATGCCGTGACACCACCAGTACAGTTCTGGTAAAAGCTGGCAGTACAGTATTTTAATCCCGACTTGCATACTTTACATGTTTAAATCTTTCTAAGACCAGTTAGATTATTTTTTGGCTAAGCTACCTCATGCTTGGCTCCAGCCTCCTGTTCCCCACTTGGTTGTATCGAGTCCATACTGAGCTTTATGAGTCCAGCTACCAACATCTAGACTGCTTTCTGGCCCAGACTCAGTTGCAGCAATGCACTTTATTCATCTATGGCTTCTGTGTTTGCATGAGCAGTGTCTCTATGCATATGTTCAGTCTTATACAGTACCTATATATGAATTTTTTTTTTTTTAGGCGCATGTCAAAAAACATCATCTTCATAATTGGAGGCATGATAACAATCCTTATACAACATGTCTAATAAAAATATATACATTGGCTGTCACAGTAATATTACTGAAGCACAAATATAGTGCAAAGTAGCATTTTTTGACAATAAAATATTCATAACGTACACAGCAGCCACAGTGCACAGCAAATATCGAACAATTCCTAATAACTCATTGTTGCCCTGTCTTTATTATGCTCTCATACTCCTGTGCTACAAACTCAAGGGGTGCAACTTGGCAACAATATACTGCAACACAGACATAAATACAGAGATGCAATGGTTCTATACCCAGTGTAGATTTATTGCATATGCGCTCTGAGCGCATATGCTGGTTTTCAGCAGTGTCATAGCACAGCAACGGTTAGTTTTAGCCAGTATTTTTATATGTATACTTTTAGCGATGTTCTGACAAACGTGAAACATAAAGCATGTGAAATCCATTTAGAAGCTCAGAATAAAGGAACAACACTACTAACACTCATATACAATTTTTATGCAATCAGCATATATACACAACACACCATCCATGTTATATATCTACAAAGAAAAACACTTGAATTTGCCTTCAGTAGGCAGGAAGGCCCTGGTACCTTAGTAGCAGTATTTTCATGGAACTACTCGAGCTGTGCTTAAATATACAGTATGTCATGATATCTTAGAAGATGATGGAAGACTAAAGAGCAAAATAAGCTCAAACAAGTGCTCCTCAGCTACTGTTGTATGATACAGTAAAAACAGCTAGTGTCTGCTTAATTAGTGCCTGTTAGTTGTATTGATTATTGTAATATTGTTCCTTAAATTGTGAACATGTCTGTCCCTGGCCTTGAAAATAAACCTAAATATACAACCTGATTTATCCGTGTCTCTTTTCAGTGCTCTCCTTAGCGCTCAGCAGGTCAAATGGAGGAAGATGTGTATAATATAGTAATGCATCAGCGACACATGTGATGTTCGGTTTATTGTCCCCTGCAATATCTTGTATGCTGCCACGCAGATAATTTTGGTTTTGAGGTATCCGTCTCTACTACAATATAATGGGTTTGAATGGAATTTGATGGTGTTTGCAGTATTGAAAACTACACAGAAACATTAGTTTGGGTGAAGCAGTCTTTAAAATTCAGAGTGATGCTATTTAAAGCAGCAAAAAAGGATTTTCCCTTACTGTGCCATTGGAGGGAAGCATTCGCTGCTTACATTTGGCTCTGTTTGCCCCTTTACTTCGTTTTCAGCCGTTCCTCTTACAACACAGTTTGGATTCTGACCCCGACTTGTTTAAGAAGTGCTGACTTGTCCAAGAAGTTGAATGACTGTTCCTACCCACTTCTGTTTCTGTGCTTTAGCCTTCTCTCTGCCTAATCATCTGCAGTTCCGCTACATCAAAACCTGCACTAATTATCCCACCACAGCACCATGACATGTCCTCGCTTGACAATAACCATGGCAACCTGTTCCTGGAGTCCGCTGCCGTCATCAGTGATATAAACATGGGTGGAGACTCTCCAGCCTCAACACAGCTGAGGTTTTCACAGGCCTGTGTGATTGACAGCTGTTATACCCTCAGGAAATCCTCTGCTAGCTGACTACATATGGAGCATCAAGGAGGTGTGTGTCTACACATCACACACACCACACACACACACACACAGGGCTTGTACAATAAGATGAAATTACACTGGGTGGTGACCAAAAGCAGCTGAGGTCACAAAGCTAGACACCATCTTTGATACACAATGATTCACTGACAGACACACACAAGTGCATTTACACACACACGCACGTAGACTGAAGTAGTTTCATCCTGTCTGTAACCTTATGAGTCAACGCTACTCATTAACATACTACATTTTACATACGTTTTTCTGTGTGGGTGTGTGTGTTTTCCCCACTGTCGACGTGTTGCACAGTATACACAGTATGCACGTGTGTGAATGCACAAGAAGGTGTATGTTGTAGCCATGTTCCTTAAGACAAACAGCCATGGAGATAATTACCCAGAATTACCCAGCGCGCACACACACACACACACACACCCACACCCACACAACTGAGTAGCCCCTAGTCCCTTGCCCCACCCAGACACAGTGTGTACCAGGACAGGAAGACTATGAACAATTTTATCTCTAGACGTGCATACTTGCCCTTAGGAAATAATAGCTACAAATAAAGACAAGTGTTCTGGACCTTTAGTGGATATAAATAGAAGGCAAAAGACCTTATTTATTTACCAGCCAATTTTAACTAAGTATTCTTCAAACCAAAACATTCATATTTCTCTTAAATGTAAGTAAATGGTCTTATACTTGTATAGCGCCTTTCTATGCTTTTACAGCACACTCAAAGCGCTTTCACACATTATTCGGTCATTCACCCATTCGCACTCCCAAGCACTCATGCACTCACACACCGGTGACATCACCGGGAGCAACTGGGGGTTTAGTGTCTTGCTCAAGGACACCTCGACATGTTGACTGGACAAGCCGGGAATCGAACGGCTAATCCTCCGGTTAGGAAATGACCCGCTCTACCTCCTGAACCACAGCCGCCCCCAAGTCATTTTATTGTTAAATCAAGATAAACACCATAGTTTGACAAAGGGTTTACAGTATTAATTCAGGGAGGAATGCTGCTATGGGATTTGTAGGGGTCTTATGCCAAATTAATCCAAAAGTCCATTAAATGATGTCTGAGTAGTGAGGATGGTTGTGGTTAATGTCTGATAGGCACTGAATGGGATGTGTGCTTCTGATAGTGTGATGTTTTGTGAGTTGAATTCTTTTTTTTTGCTCTTGCTGTGCACATGCAGGTGTGGGCATAATTGTTCATAGAGCTTGGTTTTGCGTTGCAGATTTTAAATCTGAACTTTATCTCTAAATCAATGTGTGTTTGCAGATGTAAAAAAACAAGCAAGAAGAGTCAGAAAAGGAAAAGAGAGACAAAATAGTGAAAGTGCTTGGCTCCAGGTGTATGTGTGTGTTTGCTCTGGTGATGACAGAGCTGCAGGTTTGGGCAGGGTTGACATGTGACATTGTGTGTTAGGGGAGTAGGCTGAGCACTCGCACACACACAAAAGGAGACACACTGGTGTTCACAGGCACAAAGAGAAAAGAGACAACAGCAAGACATCAGGTAAGACTTACATCTAAACTTTTTTTTCGCTTATTGTTACATTATGACATAGAAAAGAGATCAAATTCACCTTACAGCTCCTCCGCTTTAATTATTTGGTTGCTTCTCTACTTTCTCAGCATTGTGTCATTCAGTTCTACATGCGTCTCTGCTGGTGTCTCCTTCTTTTCTTTATGCTTATCTTTCCTTTCTTGTTTCCTTCATGCTCAGTGACATTTACCTCTAGCTTTACTTTGTAATCTGAGCCACTGGCAGATGTTGAGTTGATCACTACATACAGTACAGTTCATTTCTCTTATTTTTATTAGCTGTATGTTTCACAAGTAGTTTTTAAGTAAGATAACATTTTATCCACTCACATACACACAAGTGATGTTGAGGTTTATACAAAAATGAAATATATAAGCACTCTCAATTAATGAAGCATATGCTTGATAAAGCCTGTGACCAGTTAAAAAGGCTTAATTGCATGTACCAGCTTCCAGCAAACACAGTAACAAGCTATATCTTACACAAGGCTGCTGTGTTCTTCCTGGCTAACTTTCTAAAGGTTGATTTAAGCATAAAACTAAATGTAGGCCGGTTACTGACTGCTTCCTAAGGGAGAGAGTTTTACATTGGTAAAGCCCAGTGGAAAATATGAAGCTACAGCCAGGAAATGGTTGGCTTAATTAGAATGTCATGTGTTTTGTGGTATGTGTTTTACCTGGCTGCAAAACCAGTTTATCCATCAGGGAAATTGAATTTGAAAAAACGGGGGAAAACACCTTGCCTGGTGATGACAGGAAACAAAAGGTTTCCTCATAAATTCAGAACCCTTTTTTTTTTAACACTTTAGTTCTTGTACAAATTGAGCTATGATATGTAAAGTGTTAAATTTGTGGACTTTAGAAGTGCTGGCAGGCATATTTTTCATCTTTGGACAAAGCCAAGATGGCTGGTTTCCCCTGCCTGCCAGTCTTTAAGCTAAGCTTACCATCTCCTGGTTGTAGCTTCGTCTTTAGGGTGCACATATGAAAGTGATATAACTTCTCTTATCTTACTCTAGATGAGAAAGTGAATAAATATTTCCCAGAACTATGCCATTAACTGACTGGAGTGCTTGTCTTTACCTTACCTGCTTTAAGTTTAGTTTGCTCAAACTGAAGGACCACAAAGTAAAGATTATTATTAATAATATTAATAATAATAATAATAATAATAATAAATCTGTATCTTTAATAGGATTCCAGTCCAGTGTGTGGACATTGTCATAAAATTTCAGGAGTGTAATCCAACAGAGCAGTGTTTGTGTAGACTTGTTTCTTCTGTAAGAGTGTACAAAAGGGTAAAATATCACTTAATCATAAACAATAGAAGTTTGCTGTTCCACTGCTTTTTTTTTTTAAGCGGGTATCTGCAGGGGCTTTGTCCTTGATAGCTGATAGAAAACATCTGATATACTCCTTCATTGGTGCACGACAGCCTTTAGTGCTTTGGCCTTTTGTCACATTTGTCAAAAATAGTGAGTTTGGTCCCTTCCTGTTAACATAACTGAATAGAAGCCAAAAGTTGGGCTGATTATGGCAGTGAGAGGTAGCCAATGTGAAGTCACTGATTTTGGCAGCTGTTCAGCATCCAACTGGTTCTATCAGTGTCAAAGTCTGTGTCTGCATGTGTGCGTTTCTTTATGTGCAAATACACTGTTACTTCAGCTTTGGCATCCAGTTATCACAACCCTGATAACACTGGCTATGACCTCCAGCCTCACACATACACACACACACACAGACTGATGTAATGTCAAGTCCAAAGTAATACAGGTACAAACCACTATGGCCAAAAGATGATGGTTATTTTCCTCTCTAAACATCTTGTGATGTTTTTGTAGCAGATCAACTGTACAGTATAAACCATCCCAGCAGATCCACACAGATAAATCATGCAGACACACATACCCTTGGACAATGACATTACTATATGTATAATTTTCCAATTTTGGTCTCATTTGAGGCCATTTCTTCTTCACATTTCTCTCGTTTTAATCATCTATCATCTTTGCTGGACTAATAAGAAACTCCTATGTAACTGCTATTAAATAATGAGGATTATAATGAGGGTGGAAAAAAAAGGAGAACCAAAGAATGAGGGCGAGAGCAGGGTTACATAATAGTATTAAACTATTCCTTTTTGCTCCTTCTCTTTCAAAGGTAACCCAAAAAAGGAGAAGAAAAAGCGTAAGTGCATCAGAGGACACAAGAAGTGAAACAAGAGACAAAAAGATTTAAAAAAATGACCATTGGCAAGAACTCCAGGAAGACCTCTGTCCGCAGCTCCATCCGGGCCCCAAAGTTTCTGGACAAATCCAGCGGCTTCTACGGTCGCCTTGATGAACCTGAGACTGCGGAAGCAGAGGGGAGCAAAGAAGTGTATGGGAATGGGCTAGAAGATAGTAACAGAGGAGGGGGAGTTGTGAGCAGCCCATCCCCATCTATTGAGCACAGTTCTGGGGTAGATGAGAATGAAGAGCCTGAGGTGTTTGACTTCAGTGAAGGGATGATGGAAGATGATGGGGAGACTCTCCTCCAGAGGAAACCCAGCCGCCACAGCAGTAGGTGGAGAAGAAGCTCCAGGAGGAAGCAGAAAGAGGGGAGAGCAGAGGAGGACTCGGGCCAAGATGAGAGGCCCAGCCAGGGCACGGACTCTCTGGTTGACCCTCACATCCTGGAGCACACCAGAGTAATGATTGAGGTAGAGCTGGAGAAACTTGAACAGGAGGAAGAAGAAAATGAGAAAGTAGGAAAGGAGCCTGCGCTTGTTCACCTCCCGGCTCAGGAGGATGCGGACAACCAGGTCCTGATTCGAGACAAGAAGCGAGGGAGAGAAGAGGAGGGAGAAGAGGACAGGAAGATGAAGAAGGGGCAAGAGAAGGGGATGAAGGTGGTGAAGAGGACCCCGATGAAGAATTACGGCAAGGTGAGAGAGATGAACTGAGATCAGAGAAACTCAACTTCTGCTTTCTCTATGTCATATTTACTCTAAATAACCCCCCCCCCCCCCCCATCCACATCCTCACATACTGCAAACTAGGCAATTAATCACCAGGGAAACTATCATATCACCATAATAATAAACTTCCACCAGGGCCAAGGTACAACAGCCAGTGGTGCATGTCACCATCTCATTAGGTCAATTCCTTTGATAGGAGTTATCCTCTACATCATGTTTAATGTCATGAAGACATCAAGTTGAAACAGGTGTTTCACTAACAGCCTTTTAACAGTGATGTAAACCTACCTCATCTACCTTCATCTTAAGCACATGTTCCTGTTTCCAGTGAAACATGGGTAGACGGGTGACATTCCTGTGTCTCCAGTATCATGTCCTTTGATCGGTGGAACGAAGTACAGCAATGTTGACACACCTACTAAACCTACACCATAAAAACATTCCACTGCTGATAACCAATCAGCTGCATCCTCGGCCCTCAGAATCTGACCGCCTGATAGATTAGATGACAATTGCACACAGTGATACCGAGTTTGTCCCTGGAACATTAGTTTCTGTGTCAGTGTCGCAAGAATACTTGTATGTTGCACTGAAAAATAAACATCTTGTTTGTACTTACTGTCTGAGCAGAGCTGGTTGGATATTCTTCATTGGAGCAAATTTGCAAGTTGCTATAGCAAGAGGGTCCAAAAACAGGAAGGAAACGAAGTAAAAATTAGTCTTGATTAACAGACCACTTCCTGGTGAAATGTGCGAGCTGTAGTGCGGGGGTCACAGTCCAAAAAAAGGCATAGTAACAAGAGTGACATTTATAACTGTCAAACATTTACATTTTCCATTGAGTGGTATTTAGACAACAAATACAGCCAAGCAGACCGTTCACAAAATGGTCAGCAACACTTTTAATTTGTAGGTATTTAATTTCCTGGGATGTTCCCTGGAGAGAGCAAAGTAAATTTAGCAGCTTGCACACTTCCAATAGATTATTCCGAGTGGATTCCCTGTTTAACGTGGATAGTCAGTATGCAGAAGGTCAGGTGAACATAAACAAATGTACATTTATTTTGATGGACATCCACCTGGAAATTCACAGACTTATAAACTCAACTCAAGTCTAAGCAAAATACAGACCCATGAAGCAGGGAGAAAAGACAGGATGAAAATTATTAACAGAAAAGAGACACAATCTTAGCATCTGAGCAAACATTCATTCAGCAGCTGCTGTAATGATACCACATGACTGTCTGTAATTTGCTTTCACTTCTGATTCATATGTAACAATCATTTTCAGGAAAACCTTACTTTATATTTCTGACCCAGCTAAGCTTTACGCTCTTGTTCCCATCAGGCCTTGGACAGAGCATTTCGTCGTGGCTGGGAGGTCTTCGTCACCAACCTCTACAGCATCACGCTCACGGCTGTGACATCTTCCTCGCCATCTTCACCTTTGTCAAAGAAGAGACAGCAGCACAACTCCGTGTTAGCAGAGTTTCAGTAAAACGGAAGACAGAGGTGGATGATAAAATTAAACCCTTTCTAATATTTAGTTTGTTCAAATTATGAGGAATAGGGACATGCCTGTATTTATGACCATGTGGGGACTTTTAGTCACTTAATGTGTTTGAGTCATACACTAGGCTTCAGAAACATTAGTTACTGAGTCTTTTTTGCTCAATATAAAGTTTACTGCTTTGTCATATTATGTTGCAAATTAGTTTCCGCACAGACTGCAGGTGTTTTATTTCATGAGCTGGGGGAGCCAAGCTGTTGATTTTACTCTGAAGTCTATAGGACTGGCTTGAATTGAACAGTCCAGTCTTTATGTGAAGGACTTCAGCTGATCCTGGTTCCCTTCTTGTGTGATTCTAATTTTAGTCGGTGGTGTAAGAACAGTTTAGCATCGTAGCTCCTTACATCTAGTCCACTAGTTAGAGCTTGGAGTACAGTTAATCACTGCTTTCCTTGGTTTACCACTATGAAACTACAAAAGTGTTGATGTGTAACCAAAAAGAATGGAATGTTTCCAGTGAATAGCGATGACTGATTAGTGGACTTTGATTCTGGAGATATTCAGATTTCTGTTTCTGATAGTTTGTGCCATTTTTTGCTCTCTGGCAGCTAATCAGTAACCAGCTGTGGTTAAAGAGGGGAGAACCAACATACAAATGCGCCCACTTAATCAGTATTAAGACATTAGCATTGTCCACATTAACACACACATTTGTATGTCAGTATTTATGGAGATGTTTTAGGTTTTTAACCTGTTTAAACGGGGGGTTCCCATCTGTGTGTGCACAGAAATACAGCAGAGCTGCCAAGTACTACAAGCATACCAGTGTTTGACTTCATCATGAGATAAAGTTCATCCCTGTGTGTGTTCTCATCAAGGTTATTCAACCTGAAGGGGCAGGCAGGAGAGTGTGTTTGAGAGAAAAAGAGAGACAACTGGTTTAATTGTGTGGTTATAAATAAGTAGGCCTACCAAACACAGCAACAGGACCACTGTATGTCGTTTGATTATCTCATTACAGCTGCACATATGTTTTTATATGTATTCTGACCTGAAATGAGTACCCCAGCATAACTGTCAAAGAATGTTTAAGAAATATTTATTGTTGGCCACTGTTAAAATGAAACTGTAATCTTACAATAGGCCTACTATAATTTCCTGTTATCATCTGTGTATTTATTTTGTTTATATATAACCTCAAGTGTACTAGTAGACTCTGAAATAACTCTTAAATGTTAATTTCTTTAGAGCTTCTTTTGTATCCTAATCAAAACTTATGAAGTCATGAGCCATAACCCAGGGCACATTTCTGAAGTAAAGACTGGATTTATTCTGCCAGCTGTGTTTTTGTTTTCAAAGAAAAACTGATGCTATAAATATCTACTTAAGTGCCTGCACTTTAATTAGCTAACATACATAAATATAGTCAATGTTACAGTTGTTATATGGATGAATGAGAGCGAGAGAGCTGTCGAACACAGCTCCACGCCACCATAACAGAATATCATTGTAAGTTGTGCCAATAAAAGGAATGTCAACTATGATGTAAAATAACTATAATCTAATGTATGCAGTGTTGCATCTCAACAACATCTAGGAATTTAAGAATATAGGCTACCATAAGTTTTTTGTTTCTAATCCTACACTTACAGTCTGCTACAGTAATTGATATTCACAAGGGGGACATCAGTATGTACTATAATGGAAGAGCAGAATGTAACATTTAAAGCCCTTTATAGTAAACAGGCTATTATGTTTTTATTTCTGAAGGCAAATAGCAGAAGCTATGCCATGTTTCTGTGTCGTTGCTGCTCGTCTTGGGAGAATGTGTGTGTGTCAGATGGGAAGCAGTGCTCTGTTTTGGGGGAGCTAACATTAATACCAGCAGTCACTGCAATAATGCACATTCTACTACAGGTAGAAAAAGTTACAGTAGTTAGGTAAGAGGACAAATATTAGGTTCACCGAGACAACGTGAAATAAAGTTGACATCTCTGGCCCCTCTTCCCTTCATCACCACCGAGTTAGCACGGGGCAGCTAAGGCTAGCTAAGGCTAGCTACGAACCAGGGTATTAGCCACACCACAGGTCTGACCCAGCTACACTCTGGATCCGTTGATCTGTAAAGGTAACGAATAACTTCTCCGTACAAACTTGACAAGGCTGCTGAATGTTACTCATTTGATTTTGAAGTTTGCCAAGGGAGAATAATTTTTTTAAACATTCTACTTTATGCTAACGCTAGCTTTGCTGTAATGTTGCAGGCAACGTAAGATGCTAACGTCCATTTTAGCAATGTTGACATTTTAAAGTTTAATGAATGCTCATCTGAATAACCTACCAGCTGTTGTCAGGCTTGAAGATGTTTTATGATTGTGACCTTACTTCTAGATTTGTGTTTTTCAATTATAAAAATACATCTTAGAATTCCCCAGACTATGAATAACATGGAATAATTGGTGGTGATGAAGAATCAAGGATTGTCAGACTTAACTTCACCCCAGTGACCTGAATATTAGAGATAGGGCATATGATAAAGCTCTGAAGCTTGTTTTATTTCAGTTCACTCAGTGAACTACTTAAATGTAGACCTAATTATTTTCATGTCACACATATTGCTAGAAACTTGTCCTTTCATGAACAAAAATATTGTACAGTGTTTCAGTACTAGTCTGCTAATTTTTTTTAAGCCAGCAGATGTTGATGTACTGTCTGTCTGTTTGAACCCTCAAAGCTTTACAAGGCAACCCATCCCTCAAATCATCCTTTTTTTTTTAAGTAGCCAAACGGCATAAATGAACGTGGCATGCATTTACCAAGCAAGTCATAATATGACAGCTCTACAACATTGTGACTGGATAGTCAAAGGCGCATGTTCAAGATCATATTCATATTGTGATGACTATGCCAGCCAGCGGGAGGGTTAGTGACAGCGGCAAGCATTATGCAAATGTGTAAATAGTTTGCGTAATATTGTGGTATAATCCTGAGTCATTGTGTTTTACGGTTCTTGTTATTGTTGTATTTTGAGGGGTTAAAAATGACTGTTGGGTTCATGCTGTGTGTGTTGGGTTGCATCGAGCATTCGGTGCTCGAACCTGTTGACTGCTGTTCGATTGGAAGTGTTT